TCTTTCCAAACGTTATTTCCCCATTTCCCTTTATCAGTGCTGTGCCTACCCCCAGCCTACTGTGTGCACGTCCCACGAGTGACTGGCTCTGCCCTGAGTGCTTTCCTCACTCTCTCTGGGTGGACGTGCCTGGCCTCCCATCCCCGTGTCCAACTGCTGCCTGCTTTTGAAGGCACAGTTCACACACAACTTCTATGGGGAAAGGGCTCTAGATGCTTCTGTTGAGAAGTAATTTCTTTCCTTGGACTTTTTGTTTTAGTTTGATTGGAATGTTTCTGTTTTTAGAAAAATGATTGGTGCTTTATCTGATATATTGTTTTTACTTAATATCCAGGACTAAAATGATTCTTTGATTTTTTTTTTTTTTTTTTTAGTAACTGCTATGTATTTGCTTTAGAAAGTGTACAATAAGCCAAATTCCCTCAAATGTGAAAACATACCAAACTTTATAAGACTAGTAATTTTTTATGCGCAGTTTACACAAAGTGGGATTGGATTTTGTATGGTTCCTGCTGTCCATGACTTGAAAAACGTAGTGTGGGCCGGGTGTGGTGGCTCACTCCTATAATCCCTGCACTTTGGGAGGCTGAGGTGGGCAGATCACTTGAGGTCAGGAGTTCGAGACCAACCTGGCCAACATGGCAAAACCTTGTCTCTACGAAAAATACAATAATTAGCCAGGTATGGTGGCACAAGCCTATGATCCCAGCTACTTGGGAAGCTGAGGCAGGAGAAACGCTTGAGCCTGGGAGGCGGAGGTTACAGTGAGCCGAGATCGTGCTACTGCACTCCATCCTGGGCAACAGAGCAAGCAAGACTTTGTCTAAAAATGTAAAAAAAAAGTTTATGTCTTTTTGTTATTGTGTAAATACTTCATAGAAAAAACAAAGCTGAAAATAATCATCATAAAAATAGTGATTTTCAATAATTTTAATGTGCTGAGCCAACAGATTTTATTTTCAAACATTTTCTATTCCATATTTTCCCTCCTTTTATTAGAATCGGTGAAGGACCATCGGTGGAAGACTATGAGGATTGTTAGGATGAGGCAAAGACATTCTTAACAGAGTTTACAAAGAGCTTTGAAACGTAAAACTACCTGCCCTGGAAAAATGGGATGTTGGCTTGAAGATATTTCATAGTATTCCTTGTTTTCTTACTGGTTTTTCTATGTCATTTTAATCATATTATCATATCCTGTCATTTCAGGTAACATAGCATTATAAGTTATAATAATTAGCTTCAGGAGAAACATATTTTACAATTTGTGTTTTGTGTTTGGGTCCTATCTGTGTATTTGAAAGGTACATGTATGTGTAGATGGATAATGAGTTCCATCAGGATGCTAAGCGTTGAAGGCATGGGGGGAACTGTGCTGAGGTTTGGTGATTGTGCTCTTTTATCTTCTTTCCTTCTCAAGTTTTTAGCAAGACAAGAAATGTAATTATTGTAAAATGAGAGGTAATTTTAAAAATAGCCATTGGGTTAACCAAAAACCTTTTAAATAGCTGTGGCTTCCAATGTGGGTAGGGTCACATAGTTTTGTTGTTGGGAATGTAAATTGTTTCAGACCTTCCCCTGCCCCCCAGAAATTTGCTAGTATTTATCAACATTTAAAACATGTATGTATCCTTTAATTTAGCTCTGAAGAATCTCACTTACAAAGATATACTTGAGAAAATGTTCATTGTAAGGTGTTTCATAATAGCAAAATTTAAAAATTATACAAAAGTAAAGTGTGGAGAATGATGGCTTCCCTGCAGAGTTATGGTCCTCAGTTGCAAGACTGCAATCCATGCTGCGTTGTAGTTTAAAGTGTGTTGTAAGCACTTTGTAACTGATATTAAAATTCTGATGTTAGCAAGTTTGCCAGTAACTTCATTTAACAATATTTTTTGTTTAAAAAATAGTTTGAAGTGAATTTTAAATGATCCATA